AGTAAAAAAAATTGAAAAAATTTCGAAAATTAGCGATTTTTATATTTGTAATTTTTTTGGAGGTTTCCCCCTTTTACGAGGAACGAGGGAATTTTTTTCAATTTTTAAGGGTAATGTCTTCGACTAGATACGATTTGTGATCTTTTGACGTATCATTGAAAGAAATCGGTTCGGTGAGAGCTGAGAAAAAGTGGTAACAGACACAAAAAAAAAAAAACACATCTTAGTAAAACCAATACCTTCTCAGCTTCGCATCGAAGCTAATATTATACAATTTGATTACATTATTTAATTATAGTGAAATATATCGATATTTTAAGTACTAAGAATATTAATATACCAATTTCTTAACATAAACATTTTATAAAAACTACAATAAGTAGGATTCAAATTCATATGAAATAAACATGATGGATAAGAACTATCTGTTGTCAGTTGTGTTATATGAGGACAGCCAATATCTTCCATGTTAATGACATTTACGTGTGGCATATACTGTTGTAAAATGTCTCTTTTTTGTAACCCTTTTACAAATATGTCTGTAAATTTTAACGAGTTTAAAATTCTCGGTAGTTCTTCAATTTCTACGTCTCCGTACTGAGGTTGCATTGAATGTCTGTGCTTTTTCAACCACGCGCTAACATTTCGACTTTTTTCATCTGTTGGAGTTGTATGTTTAAATATCCAGTGTTGTGTAGCATAAGTGTCAGTATCCACTACAGACAGTTCTTTTATAAGATACTCGTTATTCGATCCCAATATACACTCAAAATCTGCTATTGCTGTAGTCATTATTTAGTTTGTTAACTAGTACGTTGAGGATACGGATCTTGTTCTAGGGCGTTTTATTTTTTGAATTAACGTACACTGGAGTCAGTATAGGCTTCGTATTTTACAAAACCTTTAATTTTATTAATCTGTTCTTCTAGCTGACTATATCGTAACTTAGAAGTTGAATCTATTGCGTTAAAATTAGTATTTAAATTTTCAGTTTTAACTTCTACTCCGTGTATTTCTTCATTTATTTGTTCAATTATTTTCCTATAATTACTAAGCGTTTCAGTAATTTTTATAATATCTGTTTCTAATTCAGCTAATTTAGACTCTAGTATGCATATTTTTTTTATTCTTTTACTTTCTAATTATGAACCAAAAACATCCATTACTGTTAACGTTTACGAGTGAACTAAAAATATTTTATTAGTTTTGCAGATTTTATTCTCCTCGGATGATTTTTTATATTTTTAAAAAATAATAACACACAGTTTAATTAAAGATAGGTAGAGGGGATATGTCACATTAAGGTTAAATAAATATACATATTTAAATATATATTGATACTTTATTATATGGAGTAAAAAATACAATTAATAGTGCATATTATACATTTTTACATTAATATCTTACAATAATATTAAAATTATTTATTTTTCAAGTTCATTTTTATTCATCCATGAATCATGTTTTGAAGGAAAACCCATCCAACGAACCAATACTTTATCTCCTTTACGTCGTACAATTTTTTCAATCAGATAATTATGCGGATACTTGGTTTTTTGTAATTCTTGTTCATAAAAACACCCTCTAATTGGATTTTTTTCAAAGTCTTCGAGAAGATAGGTTACTGGTATAGTGTTGCATACCTTTGCTATAGTAAATATTTCAAAAGACCAATTACTCAAATAGCCTTTTTCAAATACGACCTTGTTCGAACTAACCCTTACATAATCACCTCTACGAAATTTAATTTTTTGTTTCGTTTTATGTACAGTACTGTGTATAACCACTGCCGAAGGATTGTTATCGGCATACGTAGGAGTCATTTTTATTGTTCTATGCACGCTGTTGTTGTACTCGTGCATAACTTTGTTTAATATAGATATCCAATTGTGTGATCCTTGAGCGGTAAACTCTCTATATAATTTGGTCTTGATGGTTCGAATTAATCGCTCACAAATTGACGCTTTTAATGTGCTATACGTCGAGTAATGATTTATGTTGTATTTTTTCATAAGAGTTGAAAATTTTGAGTTATAGAATTCTTTACCCAAATCGCTCTGTACGTGAACGATATTACGTTTTGCAAGTATAGGTTCTATTGCTTTCACTATATCAGCTCCTCTTTTTGATTTTAGGGGTACTGCCCATGAATATTTTGTAAAACAATCAATTACAAACAAAATATATTTATAGCCTTTATTCTGTCTATGATATGGTATAAATTCAGCTAAATCGATCTGAAATAAATCGTCACGGCTTTTAAGTACAACACTACGTCTATCGTAATGTATGCGTCTAGGTCTATGCAGTTCTTCCGCAATTTGTCTTTTAAACATTTGGTATTTTTCTAATTATGCCCGCCTCGTATAATTCTTCATAAATTGATATAATTTCATTACCACGTGCATTATTGCCTGTTGCCTGTGAAGCCAATAGTAATCTAAGACGGACGCAAAGCTCATCTGCGTTATTCCAATATTTATAGTTATTCGATGTATTCAATGACAACTCAAGACCTCTGCCCTCGACAAACAATTTACTTATAACTTCTTTATACTTGTAGCCATTTGTTTTCTTAATTTTTAATTTATTTGTTGTTAAGTTCGCAGAAGTATGAACTAGAATGTCTCTATAGACATTCAAGTCATTTTTACCGTATGCGTTAGGCCGTTTTGAAAATATTAACTGTATTAGACCGGGGGTCAACAGATATTTATTATTTTCTATGATCAGCTGAGCTGTTTTATAATTAAACTGAACAATTTTATCACCAAATTTTATTAAATCCCCGTGTTTTTTCGGTGCATACGCTTTGTCCCCGTCATGATAAGCTAGCCAAGCCTCAACAGAGTCCATCATAGAAAATATTTGGTTTTCAGAATATCCACTAGAATTAGTGTCTTCAACATTATAGCTTTGATTATGCAGCTCAGTTACTATAGAATTATTTTCATCGTTTTTATAATTGTTACCATCATGGTTTTGTTCATATTTTAAATACTCGTTATTATTATCAAATTTATTAGTAAAATTTGAAATATGCGATGTTTTCTCTTTTTGAAGTGTTGTTAACTCATTTAAAGGTTCAATAATGGGTTTTAATGTACGTTTCATGTAAATCTCATTAGCATCATCATCGTTTTGCAATGATTGGAATTTTCGTTTAATATTTTGCTTGGCCTCGGCTAATTGTCTCAATATTTCGTTATTACATTCTCCGTCCATTGTTAATCGATTACTGACAAAATCTCATTATTACACGGCATTATATTATTGCGAAAGTATCGAAACATTTACGATACCTGCCTTCATTTCGCGGATGATCTTTACTAATTACTACAAAACTAAATTTACTATCGTTCCAACATGAATGACAAAATTCACGAAACTGGTTAAGTGTCATGTCCCCTGAACAATTATTAAAATATATATGCCGTATATTGGTTTCGTCTTGTTTGAATAGAATAAGCATATTAGCGTTATCCCGTATCAATTGTTTACCTACATAACTAAACGATTGTGTTAAATAAAATATGTCAATGTTATTATGTCTGCCTCGAGTAAAATAGGTTCTTATAATTTCTTGAGATTCGGTTATTACGTCGTCGAATATAAAAACTGAATTTGGCAATGCGTCCTCAGGGCTAATTACAGTGTCGTTTTCATGAAACATGAATATTTGCATTCCTGGTATACTTTCTATAATATCCTTAAGCATTTGATATTTTGGNTGAACAATTATTAAAATATATATGTCGTATACTGGTTTCATCTTGTTTGAATAAAATAAGCATATTAGCGTTATCCCGTATCAATTGTTTACCTACATAGCTAAACGATTGTGTTAAATAAAATATGTCAATGTTATTATGTCTGCCTCGAGTAAAATAGGTTCTTATAATTTCTTGAGATTCGGTTATTACGTCGTCGAATATAAAAACTGAATTTGGNATTCTAACAATTTCTTGAGATTCGGTTATTACGTCGTCGAATATAAAAACTGAATTTGGCAATGCGTCCTCAGGGCTAATTACAGTGTCGTTTTCATGAAACATGAATATTTGCATTCCTGGTATACTTTCTATAATATCCTTAAGCATTTGATATTTTGACTGGTCTAGAGTTTTTGAATATATGTAAATATTTTTGAATTTTATGCCGTTTTCAGCGACTAGTAAAGAAAATGAAACATTAGTTTTACCACAGCCCGACGGTCCCGCAATAATCGCTCTAATAGAGTTTGGTAATAAAGTGTCGTGTCGGGAAGGTTTATTGTCATTATTTTCAGTATCTGCGTTTATCACGGGGAGTTTAATACTTTGCCGTATAAACTTCATGTTTTCCACTATAAATAGTTTATCAGAACATTAAACTGATCAAATGATGTCTCGTCATGGTCGCAACAAGTCTAAAAGTGGTGTCGGTCTATTCAATACGCTCTTAGATAAATTGCCTATAGAATTACACCTTAAAGGTTATGATTAACGTTAAAAGAACGTTTAGCAAGAGGTGACGTGGGGGTAAACAAACTCGACGAACTCTGCAAATCTCATGACATTTTTTACGATAAATATCATTCGACTGCAGAAAGACATAGAGCAGACAAAGTATTAGGACACGGGGCTTGGGACATTGTTAAATCAAAGGACTCTGGATTTAAAGAACGGTCAGCAGCATACCTAGTTACCAACGCCATGAAAGCAAAACGTAAAATCGGAATGGGATGTGGTTTTAAAACTATAGTTTCTGAAGCGAAAAAGGCTATTAAGAAACATAAAAAGACTGCCGGCAAAGATATTACAAAATTAATAAAAATTGCGTTGACCGCTGCACGCAAAAAAACTCGTAGTGGTAGCATTTTCCCCACACCACGTGTAATACCAGTGCCGAAATCCGGTGGAGCGCTTCCTCTTATTCCTATTATGAATAGGCATTATGAATCTCTTGATCTATTATTACTAAAATATAATATAGTCTATTATTTGTAAACCTAGAAGTAGAACACTTTTGTAATGTTTGGATTAATTGTAATTCCCCGACTTATTGTTACTAGATCAGGAAGTAAATATTTATAAACCTTTTTGAAAATGATTACTATATGAATTTTATAAAAAGACAAACAAAATATTTTAGTATATAAGATGAAATGGAATGAATTAAAAGGGGAGAAAGAGAAGACCTCGGCAGTACCGAAGGTAATCTCTTTCCGTGTGGTACGTTTGTGACTTTAAGTTTTTATTTTGTGTAATATTTATTTATCCGGTTTTAAATGTATCAATATTTAATATGTTTTATTTTTGATTGATTATATTTTTATTAACTACATTTTGCGTTATTATTGAACTACAATAACTATAAGTTAGAACAAAAAGATTGTTCCATATTTAAATACAACAAAGTGATATATTTAAATACAACACCGCCCAAGACAAAAAACTAATATCGAATCTGCCAAAGACTGCTCTATATGACTATCAAATTATAAAATATGCAAATTTATTGAAAATACCTCATTTTAGAGGGGTCTTTAGCAGAGACACATTGCCGGTACGTCCTTTAAAAAACGAGAGTGCAGTTATTAATTTAAGCAAACAAAACGATCCAGGTACTCATTGGGCGTGTTATAGAAAAAATAACAGTAAAGTACATTATTTCGATAGTTACGGTGATTTGGCTCCACCGTTAGAGTTACAGAAATATTTTAACGGGTGTACCGTAAATTACAACTACCAATAATTCGTTTTTACCTTTGGAATTTGAAGAGGGTGCCGAAATTTGTCTTTTGTTGAATTTTAGGGCCCGACCATTTACCGTCGGCGTATTGTATAATGCGGTCTATCTGGGGGTCTATTTTTCAATCGTCCGTTCACGAACGTATACGTTCAGATTTTATTTTATATAGGTTTATATGGCGAACGTTATCCGTGAACACGTTCGGAACGTATGAAACATCGAACGGACGACCGTTCAAAACATTAAAAAACGTTCGTCACAACGGATAATAGAAACCATCCGTTAGCGAACGGTGGGTCGAACGGTCGATCGAACGGACGGTCATAAATAACAAAAGAAAGGTTTGACCCTTACACTTGCCTTTTAGACAAACATATTTACCTAAAATATAATTTTGAATTAAAATCGTTTTAATTAAATAAATTCATTAAACAAATCAATTATTCGTAGAAGTAGCTATAATCGGAAATAGGGAGCTAAGGCTCCTTCATGTTTGAGTGAGATTTCCTTATTAACTTATGAACATAAAAAAAATATTTAATATATATTTTTATTAATAAAAATATATTTATTATAATAAATATTATTTCAATTAATTATGTTGTTATACAAAACATAAATTAGTTGAAAAAAATGATTGAAATTTACAAACAAAAATTTTTAGTTAAATATTAAAAATTGTTTTAAATAGAACTATTATCTAATAGTTTCCAAATTATTTCAATGCAACTTACAGCGCATCAATGATACATAATATTTGTTTACGATCTCATTAAATGCAGCGAGACCTTTTTTGAGATAATTGAGTAATATAAACAAAAATCACATTATTTAATAAAATTCACTTGAAAAATGCAACCATAAAATACATTGTATACAGAGTGATTTTTTTATCATTACCCACTCAATTACTTACAGAATAATAATAAACTAAACATTTTTATTTCCGATTATCTTTAGTTACACATTATTGTTGAATTATTAATTATGTAACACTTTAAGTTCATCCCTTATACTATTTATGTATAATATATAAGGGATTATAAATACAGGTAGCTAATTGGATTTTTATGACATTGCTGTCATAGTCACGGATTCTTTA